AAATTCCAGGGGCGCGTTTTGGCCATCGCATTGTGGATTTCGATGTTGGTCGCTCTTTCTATGCGGATCAGTCCGGGGGCCGGACGCAGCCCGTTACCACCCGAGACACAAGTTTGACCATATCGTCGTCGCCGACTGTTGTTGCAGTTGTTCCATTGCCGTTTGAGGAGCAAGAGCTCTTTTCTATTCACGAGTTCATGCGATTCACACCTTCTTGCTGATAACTCGTCATCGCCTCGATGTCTCAGCCTCCGCATGGCGCAGTCGCCAAGGCGCCGTCGCTTATCAAGATACGAGGTTCTACTCAGCGATTCGAAGTAGTGGTGGATGGACTGCCCGCAACATTGGAAGGTACACTGCGCCTCTCGATTCCTGCAGAGTTCACTCTCGTTTCAAAGAAGACCGACCAGGGCGCAGCAGGGGCCGATGCCGACGCCGCGCCTTCAGGATCACAGGCCGCCGAGGCGCCTCCACCAGAGAAGCGGCAGAAGACGCAGCACGACGGAGAGTCACCATCGGATATTGAGTTCGTAGGCCAATTTGAAGCGCCCAAAGAGCCGTCGGAGACGGCGGCCCCGCGCGAGCAGCCATCAGCGGCCCCGCGCCTGCACCCTAGTCCAATGCAGCCGTCTTTGGCAGCGATTCCCGAGGCTGAGCGCGTGTACCCTAGTCCAACGCAGTCGTCTTTTGCAGCGACTCCGACGTTGCCGATGGAGGGCCCCGTTGGGGATCAGAATCAGACGTCGACAGCTGTAGCAGCAACAGTCGTAGATGGGTCACTTCCTGCGGATGAGAATGCTGTGAACGGCACGGGGGTCCCAAACGCTTCAAGGATCCCCAGGCCCAAGTGGTCTAAGTGGTCCTCAGCGGCCCTGGCGGCGGGTTCGCGCGAGACCATCCCTGTGTTTCGGGCCTCGCTGTGGGGCCCCTTGGCGAGCCCCGCCATGCAGGAAGTGTTGGCAGATACGTTGTTTGAAGACGGCACCCAGCCGCCGTTTTTATGATCCCCAGGAGGAGACGCAGCGCGAGGCTGAGTCTCTCCCTTGAGACGGCGAGCAGCTGATGGCTGCGAATTAACGGGGGAGGAGGATGGAGGGATGGAGGAGGGCTGGAGGCAGGAGGGATGGAGGAATGAGGCATGAGGAATGAGGAACAATGGGTGCGGAGGATTGATGAGGAATGAGGAATGATTAAGCGGAGTGAGGACGAACGGCTCCATATCCACAGTTTCGTCTGGCCGCTTGGCCTCGTGCGCGCATTGGTGCAGCATGAGGTGTTTGTTTTTTTTCAGTTGCATTGCAGCGGCCTGAGAAAGGATTCGCTACTTCGCTTAAGTTCCTGACCGCAAGCAGCTGGCAGTGACGGAGTCGCAAGATTGCGCGAGTACCCCGCCCGCATACAAGGACTGTTCTACCCTGCCCCCTCTTGTGCATCAGCGTCGTCGCCGTGGTAGTCGTCGTCGTCGTCGCCGTCGTCGTCGTCGTCGTCCTTGCCTCGTCGTCGTCATCCTCGTCGTCGTCTTTATCGTATTTGTCGTCGTCAGTGGCAGCCAGCTTGGACCCCAGACAGTGGTTTCTTGCAATCTATGGTGCAATCTATGTTGGGCAACCTATGTCTAAGCGTTGGTGCAACCGATGTTGGGCAACCTATGGTGCAACGTATGTTGGGCAATTTATGGTGCAATCTATGGTACAACCTATGCAATCTATGGTGCAATATATGGTGCAACTTATGTTGGGTTACCAGGTAGCCTATATTGGGCAACGTATGTTGGGCAACCCACCTTGTTGCAATATATGGTGCAACCTATGGTGTAAAACGAAATGCGTTTCCGAGCCCGAGGTCCTCCGTAATCGTTTTTGGCCCAGACCGTCCGCCTGAGTGGTTTCGGATATACCATCCTCTGATCGTGTTGCGGTGTGTCCACTGAGTACACAGCTCGTTTGCCTGCTAGCTGCTAGGGGTGGTGGCTGCTCGCTATCGTGACTTGGAGGGGTTGACAAAGCCTGTTTTGATCAATATCGTCAAGGAGCTTCGTGGCGAGCTCAAAGAGGAGAAGAACACGTCCAGGGCACTTGCCAGCGTCGTGAGGGAGGTGGCGAGGGTCGCGACTTCAAGCACATGCAAGAAAGTCGCCGAGATACGCCCGAAGGAAACCGCCAAGGTGAAGAAACCCAAGACGGCATCGTCTCAGACCCAGCACACGCAGCTCGGCAAGTTGGCAAAGCTCTCGAGTCCCAATGTCATCGCGGCTCAGGACTCCCCGTCCAAAGTTCCCCAGGGCATCCAGGCATCTCCCAAGAAGAAGGTTCCTCACCGCTCCATGGCCATTCGCTGAGTGCTGAGATTGCGGCAGTGCTTCCCATAGCTTTAGTTGTGGGATTGGGGAGGGGGCGGGGTAGGATGCAGGAGTGACGAGGATAAGGGGTGGCTGGGTGGGAGGGGTGCTTTGGAGAGCGGGGGAGGGAGGGGGAGAACTCGGAATTGCTGTAGAGGGCGATGGAGGCAGCGTGCGAAGGAGACGAGGACGGCCGATCATGTAGGGCGAGGGCGGTGGGACAATGAGGATGGGGGGAGGCGGGCGGGGGTTAATGATGATCAGCGCTGCAGGCAGGGCCATCAGCGGGGGTTTGATGATTTCGACTGCCACTGGTTTCGGCGGCCTCGCTTCCCATGTCATCCCACGCATCGGCGACGATGACGCCGACGACGACGGTCCAGGGGGGGGCATCGCGGCAGGAGTGATGATGGGGGGGGGCACTGCTATCTCTCGCTCTCTTTGCTTGCCCGCCGCTCGGCGGCTGGACCAGAGCATGAAGTTCCAGGCGCCTCCGAGCCCCGCCGCGCAGCCTTGCCCGCCGCTTGCACGTCGAGAGTGGTGGCCAGGACACGTCCGCTGGATGGCGCCTCAAACGCCCCCTCGCCCCGCTCGTAACCTGCCTCGCTCTCGCCTTGCCCCTCTCCCCGCCCCCGCTCGCCCCTCCCCGTCGCCCTGCTGCCCTTTTCTGTTTCGCAAGGGCCCCAGTCCGCCCCAAACTTCGCCCCTGCATCTCGGGCCCGCCCCAATGTCTTCGTCGTCGTTCTAGACGCCATCTAGCGGCATTCGACCCGCCCCGCCACCGTGCCTGGGTTCTGGCGGAACGCTCGTAGTGCCAGTGCGCGTTCGCCTTATGGGGCCCTTCTTGGGCCCCCCCCCCTGGCGCCGATTGGGCCGATTTGGCGGCCTCCTGGATCGTCTGAGTCCTGGGTCTGGCCCCCCATGGACCACCTCGGGGCTTCCATGGGGCTTATTCCGCCACCCTGGGGCGACATCGGGCGCCTCTCGGGCAATCTCGGAGCGTTGGCATCAGGGATAGTTGATGGCGCTAAGCTGACATCGTTAAGTATCTGTTCATACGAGTTGTGACATTTTGGGGCCCTGTTGGAGTCACGCTCGGAACGCTCCTGGGGCGTCTTGGCGGCCTATTGGGCCGTGGCGATCTTGGGTGTCTTGGAGCACTCCTGGGCTGTCTTGGCGGCATCGGGGCCTTCTGGGTCTTTTCTGGGCCCCTCTTGGCTCGTCTCGAGGCTTTCTGGCACCTCTGGCCCCTGGGGAAGTCACGCGGGGGACCCCGATGAGCGCGCGCGGGCTTTGGGGACTTGGAAATTTGGCCCCCCGGCCCTTGATCAGACCGAGCAGCGCAGCATTGGGCACAGGGGGCGCGAGGAGACCCGTCGGGGCCCCGAATGCCCCACGCGCGCGCGGAGCGGATGTGGGGCCAGCTGCCCGGTGGGGGCCCCGAGGGGGCCCGACGGCGGTGAGCCAGGTTTGACCGTGGCCGTCGCGAGTGCCGTTGCCTGCAATTTTGTGGCTCAAGATATTCGGCTTACACTTTCACCGCGCCTTTCCTCGTGCCCACACCTCTCGCGGCCGCCATTGCCGCCGATGCCCGGCCGAGACAAAAAAAGGTGAGCAGGCGGCCAGGAGGGATGCCGATAAAGATCCAGGTGGCAGTAAGAGATCTCGCAAGAATCCCGATGCCGAGCATCCCAAGCAGCCAGGTCAGCACATCCGAGTTTGCCTCATGTGCAAAGGCAACCACAAGGACGTCCCGTTCCCCGAGACCTCGGACACCGACGCTCCTGCTAATGCTTGTTTGCGGTGCTCCGCTATCTTCATTCCGTGTCGGTTGTTCGTGGAGTGGAAGGTTTTCGCAGGCTTATATCACACGGACCCAGGCCACAAGCATAATTGCAACCTCGCCCTCCGCCACATGCCCAACGAAGCGGCGGCTGCGTCGGCGTTGCGGCCAGTCGAGGTCTCGGACGGCACGGGCCTGGTGGTGGACATCTGGCGCGAGGGGGTGTGGGTCCCGTCCTCGTCCATCAAGAAGGAGTGCAGCAACAGTACTCCGAAGCAGCTGAAGGTTGGAGACCCGATTGAGCTGACGATCCTGGACCAGCAGGTTAGCGGGTACATGTTCAGCGACGAGAGGTCGCAGATGCGGATCAAGGTGGGGGTCCAGGCGCGGGTTGACTCCAAGAAAGTGACGATGCCATTGACGGGCCAGATCGTCCAGGGCTTGGCAAACCACGCGATTCAGTTCGCGCGGCAGCATGACCAGTCAGGAGTTCACAACGACGAGCTCTTCTCTTTCCTGACCCACAGCGCCACCAAATGGGAGGATATCAGGGAGCGGGGCATGAGGGTCGAGAGAGCGCGGGCGGCCCGCCGCAACCCGTCTGCGAGAGATGGCGCGGCAGGTGATGCCGACGATGATGAGGACGATGACGAAGACGCTGGCGGCGCCAGCAGCGTCGGCGGCCCAGGAGGTGACGGAGGCTTAGCAGCTTCAGGTAGCGCGCCTATGCTTAGCACCCCGCCGCCTGCCCGCGGCCTTACGGCCGCCAGCCCACCGTGCAGTCTTCTTCCTGACGGTCGTCTGCCCCAGCCCTCGCCTTCACCGAGTCGGTGCTCGAGCGTTGCTTCGGCGTCCAAGCACGCGCGCGGCCAAGGCCCAATGCCCTCGGCGGCGGCTGCGACCTCCGTGGGTATCCAGATCTTCTTCGACCCGTCCAAGAAGGGGCTCATGACTGTGACTTTCGAGCACTCTTCAGTTCGAGATGCTGATGATGAAGATGGCCCTCTTGCAGTTCCTGACTCGGCCATATCGGTTGCTGGCGAGTCGATCGCCGCGACGTCTGATAAAGGCGGCGGCAGGGGCAGGGGCTCCGCCAGAGCCAGCAAGAACCCGACCTACTGGATCGCGAAGCTGAAGTTCGAGCACGCGCCTCAAGGCACCACCGGCAAGCGCGATGTGCACCAGGCTTCGGAGTGCGCGACGAGATACGAGACCAAGTTTCCCGAAGATCAGACTACGCACGCGCTCCGCAAGCACGTTGCTCGCATCGGCGTCTTCTCAAAGGTCTCTCCGAAGGAGGTTGGGACGACGTCGTGGCCAGACATTCGAGATGCATTTTCGGAGATGGTCTTGATCGATGTGGCCCCTCCAGGTCGTGTGTTGATCGCGCTCGTGGAAAAGAGGGCCAACGAGTTGGTTTCCGCGTCGACGTCAAGCATGCTCATCAGGGAGTCCGACGTCGAAGAGCTGGTGTCTTGCGTGTTGCCATGGCCTCTTCCTAGCCGCCCCGCCAGTGGCGACGGTCCTCCAGTCTTTGACGTCTTGAAGCCCCAGGTGCACCCGATCTCCTCAATCGTTCCTGGCGCGGGGCAATCCCATATCATGAGCACGTTTCTCATCGAGAGGTTCCTCTGCCAGATCATCAAGAACACGAACGAGGCCAACGTTAACAGCACGACGGGGGCGTGCAGGAAGTTGAATGAGTTGTTGGACTTGCCAGGCGAGGTCGATACCACTCACGAAGTCATGGGCGTGTGCGATAGCATCTACATTTCGATTCGGGGGTTCACGGCAGTGATCCAGGGCAACATCACGATCGCCACGAAGTTTGATCATTTGTCTGACGTGGAGTCGTTGCACAAAGCATCCGGAAAGACCGTCGGCACGTCAGTGTTGCAGGAGGTCGGGGCTTCCATCTGCCGCAATGAGTTCTTGGGCAGTAAGATGTCGACCTTGATGAAGGGCCTTGACGTGATCAGGAAGCGCGGCCCCCAGATGCAACATCACCTGAAGAGGCTGGTTGACATCAGCACGAGCTCCAGCTTCAAAGATATGATTCACGTGATTGATGAGGGGCTCGCGTATTTCAGGCAGTGCTCGGGGCTGTTCTCTCCTGGCATGTGCTCTGTGCTTGAGGACTACATACATCGCAAGACGGACCTGCTATATCAGAAGCTGGCCAAAACAAGCACAGAAGATGGAGAGAAGACGGATGAGTTCAACGCTACCGTGGCAACCGCTCAGGTTTTGTTCCAGGGTTGCTGGCAGAAGTTCTCCGATAAGACCCAGTACGACATGTTTATCGAAGGCTGCGGGGGCATGTTGAGTAACATGGCAAACGCGACTTTCACTACAGGCATCGTCAGCAAGTTTCAGGCAATCAACCAGGACGTGTCGTCATCCGCCTCATTGCTGAAAGAGTTGGCGGCTGCCCTTCGCGAGAAGGGGGGCCTGCTGTCTCCGGAGGACTTCGTCAAGGACGCCGAGGGCTTGTTGAAAGACATCGTTGCTGGTGTCTTCGCGTCGCTGTGGGCGGGGGATCATTCGCTGGATGGGGTCTACGCCAAAACAGATCTGTGCGACTCGCTCGCCAGCATTCTGGACTACGTCGTCTGCATCGCCAGCAGTGAGAAGAAGGCCGCGTTCAAGGCGGCGTCCAAAACCCTGTCGAGCTTGGCCACCGTTCTGAAGGCGACCGAGCCCGACCCGTCGGACAACAAGAAGATCAATGGCCTCAAGGATATCAGCGCGCACGATGCCCTCTCCTTGACTCGCACTGTGAAGGAGCTGAATGGCTCGATCAAGAACTGCAGCGCAGCATTCCCTGGATCCAAAGACGGTTCCCAGAACATGTGGATTCTCGTCTCCACTGGGCTCGCTGAGGCAGGGCAGCACTACCGCGTGCAGATCAAACAAGAATCCGCCAGCATGATCGCCGAGATGATTGACGTTGCCGCCTGCAAGGTTGAGGGCAGCGATGGCGCCTGGTCTGCGAACTTGCCTGATGTGGCTGATGGTTGGGAAGCCTTCGTCTCGAGAGCTGAGCCCTCCTTGATGAAATGCGATTCGAAGACGTTGGCGGCGCTGATCTCCGAGGCGCAGGCTGCACGGGAGAAGTGCGACGAGCTCGGCAACAGTTTCGGCATCGCCGAAGGCGAGGGCACGGCCTGGACAGAGGTGAACGACTCGCTCAAGGTTGCGCGGGTGACTCTGTCTGCTCACAACCTCATGAAATCCTACTTGGCCACGGGGTTGGACAAGCCAGCATTGAGGATGGCCACGAGGAGCGAGATTGAGGGCCATGCGAAGTACGGCATCGCGAAGGGCGATCTCCCGCCGATGCTGGTGGTCCGAATGCAGTCTGCGATGAAGTTGCAAACGTTCCCGTAGTAGTGGCCGATAGCGGGCATCTGAGCTTCGGCTCGGTGCAGCGCAGGCGCGATAGCCGCGCCTGCGGCAGATCAATGAGGATTGCCGCACCAGCGCCCGCGGGCGCCGTGCGTCCTTTCACTTTGCTCTCTTATGGCACGGCGTTGCATGGCGCCACGCTGTCTGGAACAGGTCGCGCGGGCGGCGCAAGGTTGAGGCATGCGTTTGCCATAGACAGTGTTTCACGGTGGAAGCATGCGTGGACCCCAGACTGTGTTCACATTGTTCACCCGACAGTGCACATGTGTATAGCACGACGTCATGGCACGCTTGACTGCGCGATGTTTTCGTTGAGTGGGTCATTGTTTGCGCCCCCCCGCCCCGCATATCTTAACGATCTTGACGCGCGCGTCGAAAACAAACCATTACCAAGCACGGGCGCCACCCGTTGGTCAGCGCAACGCATTGCACCGCGCAGTATCTTGGCATATGGTTGCACACCCAGCTCGCCAAATGCTGCTGCGCGCGATGTTGTCATTCACGGCGCGCCGCATTGGCGCCTTGATCGCTCGCACAATGCACGTGACATGCGGTCTCTCGGCAGCGCGGGGCGGATGATCGCAGCGCGCGTCGGGGCATGCGGACCTCCTGGGGCCTCTTTGGGCGCTCCGTCGGGTTTCGCGTATGCTTCCGCCGCTCGTCCTGGGGATTTGGCTGCGGATGGCATCTCGCGCAATATCCGCAGAGTTTGCGGATGCAGTGCAAGCGCTGTTTGGGACGTTTGTTGCCACGGTGACACGCGGTGAAAGAACACGCACGCAAACGCGCGCAGCTACGAGCTAGGGCATGCTGGCTCCATACCATTGTCGCAAATACGATGTGGCTTCGCTGTGCCCGCCTGCCCTCGGGCAATTCTGGTTGGCTTCGCCGATGCGCGCGCGGGTTGCCCGCGCGTGTCTGGGGCTGGTTGTTGATTCGGGAGTCGGCGGCGCAAGTGGCGTGGGGCTCTGCAATCGCATGCATGCGCGGGCGCGCGGATAGTTGCCGCGGCGGCGGGGTGCTCCACATCGTGTTCTGGGTTATGGTTCTTGGTTGTGCCCCTTAGCGCCTCGATTCTCGACGATTCGCGTGCCCCCGCCAGCCCATCCACAAACGAATCCCAGACTCGCCGCCCCGCGCATGAGAAGAAGCGGCTGCGACGGCGGCGGTAACGGCAGCAGGGGCGACACATGCAGGCATTGTTTGCAATGTCATTCGGGGAGGCCCCTGCGCGCCAATTAGAGCCAACCTTGGCCCACGTAGTGCAATCTCGGGGTGTCGCATGCCATGCTGGGCGCCCTCTGGTTGTATTTGCTCAGTGCCGTCTTGGAGCCATGTCGGTGTCTTCTCGGGGTCCCTAGGGTGGGCCTCTCAGGGCCTTGGTGGGAGGCCCTCGGTGCCATCTTGGGGCACATCGGCAAATGTCGGAAGCCCTATTGGAATATCTAGTCCCCTCCTGGGCCCATAGTGGAGCCCGCTGAGGGGGGTCTACGGAGGCCCTCGCAGGGGGCTCAATAGGTGACTTGTTGAGGCCATCTTTGATGACATTGAGCACATGTTTGGGAATGTTTCAAGTAGTGTCGGATTTCCCGCACCCCCTTCCGACGTCGAGCTTTTGGGCCCCACTAGGGCGCCATTGCGGCGCTATTCTGCGCCTTCGGGGCTTTCGGGGCTTTCATTGGCCTTCGTTTCGGTGTTTCGCGGGTTATTTGGGAGCCGTCTTGAGGCCTCGGAGGGCCGTTGGGAGCGAAACGGCGAGATGGCAACGCCCGTTGGCCTTTTGTGGGCACTGGAAAGGGGTTTGGCATCTCGGGTGCGTCCTTGGGGGGCGCTCGCATCCATTCGACGCCGCATTGGGGCAGCGTCGGACCCCTTTGAACGCATGGTCGGGGCCATATTTGATAACATTGTGTAAGCTGGGTTAACCTTGGATGTCGCCACAGGCTCTCTCGGTCCATCTTGATGCCATCCTGGGCCATCTCGGGCGCTCTGACGCATCTCGGAGCGCCCAGCCCAGATCCCGCGGGTGCGGCGGGGTGGGGATGAGCGCGCCCTTCCCGCCGCAGAGGGTAATGGGTGGGCGGGTTTTGTCTGAGACCATTGCCGCCGCTGGCGGTACCACGCGCGCGCCCATGGGCGCGCGCGCGCGCGTCCTATTGCGCATCTGGTTTCCAACGCAGTCGGCATTTCGGCCGCTGCGTTGCGCGCCCCTGGCGGGGCATTTGGGGCTGCGAGGCAGCGCATCGGCAGCTGGGTGGCCCCGCGGGGGTCGGCGGATCTGCCCCGAGAGGGGCCCCCGCGGTGCCTCTGGCTTGGGCGAGAGCTGTTTTTCGCGCCCCGCGTGGGCGCTCTCTCTAGACCATGGCGCGCAGGATGTCCAGCACCACCTTTTAGCGCGCCAAGGACAGTTGCTCTGTGATAGCCGAGTTTTTATTGGAAGGTGTCTCATGGTTTGCAGCGCAGTGGCGACGTGAAAATATGTTTCGGATAAACCGTTCATCAATTATGCCGCCCGCCCCCCCCCCTTGCCCGCCCGCTCACAGGTGCCATCTGGCATGCGCTCCCAGCGCCGCATTTGTTCCAGCGGGGGCGGCCACGGCCAGCCCGTGCAGTGCGCGGGCGTTCGGGGGCAAGCAGGTTTGGGTCGCCACTTCCTCTAATATGTAATCGTATCTCGCTTCCTTGGTTTCCTTCCTGCTGACCAACTCCCGTCGTCGCCGTGTTGCTCGCCTTCGGCGCCCACGCCGTCCTTGTCGTCGTCGTCCTCCTCCTCCTCTTCTTTCTCGCTTCTTGCGGGCCGTCTTCCTTCGGCCCAGGCCCCCCCCGCCTTGTTCGGGAAGATCGGGCCGCCACGCGGGGGACATTGGGTGGCTAGCAAAATCTGCGGGTGTTCTGGGCGGCATCGGAGCTTCAGGGTCACGTACGAACGGTAATGTATTGGACATGACACGTTTTCGTCGTCGGAGTTCGCGCGGGGGGGCAGGGTCTGCTCTGGCCGCCTGTTCCGCCGCGCCAGCCACGATTGCGTTGCCCCCTGCTGTCAGCGGCAGGGCCCCGACCTCGTCGTGCACGCGTCAGTTTAAATCCATTGATTGATTGTCCAACGTTCGGGCCGCAGCCCCGTCGATAGCGAAGCTACCGACCCCGACCGAGGTACAACGTTAGGACACGAACGTGCGTGCTATAACCTATGTTGGACAAACAAACACGAAAACGCTATAACATTTCAAAACCTTAAAAGGGATATCTTTGGGAGTACTTTTATTATTTCAGGGATCTCCTTCCTGGAGGGAGCTCCCCAAGTATAAGGATGGGGAAAGGGGGGGCTACGAAATCTGCTGCAGGCAGCTGGTTTCGGCCCCGCCGCCGGCCCCATTCCTCGATGCATGGGCGCCTCCCGGCGCCCGGAGGCGCCGGGGAAATCAGCTACGTGAGCTGATTCTCACCCCCCCCTTTGTCTGCTCGCGCGAACTTCGAAGCCGGCTAGACCTACAAGCCGTTTTTCGTTATGTTTTCGTTCCGGTTGTCGTTTTGCTCCGCCCGTTTTCCTGCACCTCACTGCCAGAACGAGAGAAGCAAAGCACGGCCGAAGTCCAGCAAAGCAGCGCTTAGGTCCAGCCCTGCTTCGAAGGAGAGAAAACGCCATAAACACAACTTTTGGGCGCTCCGCGCGGATTTCTTGTATCCGAGCGGGGCCCCCCGGCGGCGCCTACACGCGCGCGCATTTCGAATAGAAAAACGCCAGAATCGGGCCGAACGAAAGGGGGGGATAGAGAAAGGTGGGGTTACGAAATCTGCTGCGTGCAGCTGGATTCGGCCCCGCCGCCGGCCCCATTCCTCGATGCATGGGCGCCTCTTGGCGCCGGGAGGCGCCGGGAAAATCAGCTGCGTGAGCTTATTCTCACCCCCCCCCTTTGCTATCCCCCCCTTTCGCCCGGCCCGACATAAGCAAGTCGTTTGGGCGCTCCGCGCGGATTTCTTGGCTCCGCGCTGGGCCCCCCGGCGGCGCCTCCTGCGCCGCCCCCGGCGCGTTCCGTGCGCCAGAGAGGGTGTCCAGCGCAGATCCAAGAAATCCGCTCCGAGCGCCAAAAGTGCATGTTTATGCCGTTGTGTTCTTCTTCTAGGGTTGTACGCACCAGCCAATCACGCGCTTTTGGGGGCTCGAAGTGGGGGCGGAGGTAAAGGCCTGGGGTCCGCAAGCGGTGCGGTGACAGACCGTGCCGTCACGTCGAAACCCCCAGGATCGTCAAAAGTTGATTCGGGAGGGAACAAAAACACACAGACAATTAATCGTCTTTTTGTGTGCATTTATTTGTGTGTATTTATTTGTGTGTCCTAATTCGGGCCCCTTCATTGATGTTTCTGCCGCTTTCTGTCCCTTTGCGCACGGTCCGTCACCGCACGGTTTTGGGACCGTGGATACCGCCGTCGCCCGAGACAGCCTCGGAGAATGTAATCCACGTTCCAGGCGATTAACCCCAGGTCCCCTCTGACTCACAACGGGTGGTCATCGCACCGCTTTGGGGATTCGCGATGTGGGGACGAAGGTCACCAATAGCTCCAGCCCGTTTCGAGCAGTATTCGCCCTGGTGTCGCCTCGGATGTGTCTGTGGTTAGAGTGGGATAGGCTCGTGGGGGGTCGTATCAACCCCCAATCGCCCATTAATCGCCGAGCGTTCGGATTCGGTATCGGGGGCTTATCGCCGATCTATCGGCAGCGTATCGCCGATTGCAAGTCGATGTCTCCCCCCCTGAGCCGGCCCCCCCGTATCGCTGCCTCTCAACGCGGTCCATTTGGGACAGGCTGCGCTTGCCCAACAGCGGCCGCTGTTGGTCTTGGGCTGTTGTTGGGCGCCGTGCGCATCGTTCCCGTGCGTACCTGCTTCGGGCGCGCCGAAAGTGACGAGCGAACAGCACACACACACATACACCTACACCCACGGGGAGGACGGAGGGGGCTATTAGTGCGCGTTGTCTGATGGGGGTCCCCGCTCAAACGGGAGCCCCCCCCGCCTGGGGTCCGACGACCCGCACCTGAATCCATAGCCAGTCCTCCTCCCTTCGACCCGCCTATTCGGAGGCCCGAAGGTTGGCACCAACACCAATATCGGCTGTGCGCCTCCACCGCAGGAGGATTATCTCGATCTCGGTGATGGGGTGGTACTATACAGTGGGGGCGCGCATCAAGAAACCATCATGCTTTTCGTCAGGGTGCCCTGGGTTTCTTCGCTCATCACGCTGCTCGGTGACTTCCGCGGCCGTTGAAGGAGCTGCTGCGTTCTGGATGTGTCGCACCGCTCGTGCGGGTCTTCAGGGCTGGTTTTCTTGCGAGGGTTTCTTGCGGCCGCGCCCGCACTTTACGAGTTTTCTGGGTGGTCGAGAGACTACCACCAACAGCGAAATATAGGATCATCTTCCCCCATATGGAGGCAGTCCCCTGTTTTTGTGTTAGTGCCTGTTTCCAAACCTTCAGCCTACTGCATGTGTGTGTGTGTGTGTGCGTGTGCATTGTCCTTTCGTCAAAGAGGCCCGTCAACTACGCGCACTACGGCCCCGTAGCGACCCCGACGGAGGACGTCCAAGCGGACTTCGTCTGGCGGGATGTCCCCCGGCCCGGGGAGGCCCTGCAGGTGGGCGTGTTCGCGTCGATGCAGTTCGGGCTCGAGGCCGGGGGCGGCGGCTACATGGGGATGCAGGTCGCGAGCTCAGGCGCATCGGACATTTTCGGGCTCGAGGCTCGGGGGACGAAGCACGTTGACCATGATCAAGATTGAGAAGACCTTTCGGCCGGTGCCGCCGACCCTGCAAGGGGATGACGACGACGACGACCACGACGACGACGACGACGACGACGACGACGACGACGACCACGACCACGACGACGACGACCACCACGACCACGACCACGACCACGACCACGACGACGACGACGATGACGACCACCACGACCACGACCACAAGCACGACAATGACCCGACGGTCTCTGTCGGTTTCTAACGGCGCCACGCTGTCGGCCGCGCGGCCGACGCGCGGCGGGCTTCCCACGCGCTCGGCGCGCGCGAGACGCCCAGCTGGGCAGCCCCCCACCACAGGACAGGCGCTTGCGCCCCTGCCTGACACGGGGTTCCCCCGCCTCCTCGGGCCTCCCTCCTCGCAGGCTGGCCTCTCTTCTCGTCGCCTCTCCCGACGCTCCCCTCGGCGCAGGCCAGGCCCCTCGCACAGGCTGGCGCTGCTCTCAGCCCCAGCCCGCTCGCTGCCACCCCCTTCGGGCCGCGCTCTCCTCTTCTCGCGACCGCCCGCCCTCCTCGGTTCGCGCCGCCGCTTCCGCTGCCTTCTCCTGCTTGGCCAGCGCCTCCAGCTCTAGCAGTCCTGCCCACTGGTGCGGTAGGCCTTGCAGGCGTCCACCAGGGGCCTGAGAGGCAGCCTCCCGCCGTAGCCCTCAGGCCTCCTCTGTGTCTCCTCCGCCTCCTTGGTTCAGGCGCACCCCTCCTCTCCTCCTGCCAGGGTCAGCTCCGCCTTTCGGCCACCGCCGAGCCCACTCAGGGACTTGCACCTCGTCGTACCCCGATCTGGCCCAGGGTGCCTTGCCAGCAGGAGCCTCCTTACCTGCTCCCGTGGCGCCTTCGCTCCTCGGCATGGCTGGAACATCAGCCCTTCCCTGGCCCGCTGCGTCGCCATCCTGCCAGCCATGCAGCTGGTCCCGCACCTCCTGCACGCCAGGCCTCGCTCCGAGCCGGCCGCGCGGTACTCGCAGAGGCTGTGGCCTGTGCAGCCCGCCAGGTCCTCGACCTCCCCTTCCTCTCCGGCCTCCCCGTTAGGCTCCTCCGCATCACCTCCTGATGCGTCACGGTCCTCCTGCCTCCCCGCCCTCTCACGGGAGCTGGGGGGCACCTCCTGGGGCACGGCGCCCAGCTCGAGCATCCTCTCGCTCGGGATGCCGTCCGCAGCCTGCTCCTGGCCCTGCCACCAGACCGCCCACTGTGGCATCCACCTCGCCGCTGCCCTGGCCAGGTAGTGTGCACCTGCCGCCGCCAGCCGCCTCTGCGGCTCGACCCTCCTCGCGGGGTCCCCCTCCTGGGCGTGCCTGTCCGCCTCCTCCTCCCTGCCTTCACGCGTCCACTGCTCCGTCGCGGTGATGCCCTCCGCCTCTGCCCTGTGCGCTCCCACCCTGAGGACGTGCACCTGTCGGTGCCCTCCCGGCTGCTGCCACCACGGCTTCCTCAGGTGCCTCCCTGCCGCTCGCCCCCTGCCGGCGCCCTGAGCACACACCTCCAGCGGAGCCTGCACACACCTCGCCGGGAGGCGGAGGGCGCAGCCCTCGCCGTCCCTGGCCGGCTGCACCGGGGCCCACGCCGTCGGCGCTGTGCCTCGCGCTGCTCCCCGCACCCGTCCTCTTTCGCTGCGCTGGCCTGTCGCCCGGCCCGCTCCCCTCGGCACCTCCCCTGGGGTCCATGCTGCGCACGTCGAGCATCCTCGTGGCGCGGCGGAGGACTCTGTTGAGGACATTTTTCCCAACCATCCTGTGGTGTTGGGTCCTCGTTTTGAAGAGACGGTGCCCCGCGTTCCTTCCTCCTCCCCCTCCTCCCCCTCCTTGCCTCTGCTCTCGGCACACCTCTCTCGCGCTTCGTAGCCCCATAGGGAGCTCCACCGAAGGCCCCAGTGGGGGTGTCCACATGCGGTTCCCCCACCCAGGGCAGCGTTTCGTAGCCCCAGAGGGAGCTCCACCGAAGGCCCCAGTGGGGGTGTCCACATGCGGTTCCCCCACCCAGGGCAGCGTTTCGTAGCCCCATAGGGAGCTCCACCGAAGGCCCCAGTGGGGGTGTCCACATGCGGTTCCCCCACCCAGGGCAGCGTTTCGTAGCCCCATAGGGAGCTCCACCGAAGGCCCCAGTGGGGGTGTCCACATGCGGTTCCCCCACCCAGGGCAGCGTTTCGTGGCCCCATAGGGAGCTCCACCGAAGGCCCCAGTGGGGGTGTCCACATGCGGTTCCCCCACCCAGGGCAGCGTTTCGTGGCCCCATAGGGAGCTCCACCGAAGGCCCCAGTGGGGGTGTCCACATGCGGTTCCCCCACCCAGGGCAGCGTTTCGTAGCCCCATAGGGAGCTCCACCGAAGGCCCCAGTGGGGGTGTCCACATGCGCATGCGGTTCCCCCACCCAGGGCAGCGTTTCGTAGCCCCATAGGGAGCTCCACCGAAGGCCCCAGTGGGGGTGTCGCATGCGGTTCCCCCACCCAGGGCAGCGTTTCGTGGCCCCATAGGGAGCTCCACCGAAGGCCCCAGTGGGGGTGTCCACATGCGGTTCCCCCACCCAGGGCAGCGTTTCGTAGCCCCATAGGGAGCTCCACCGAAGGCCCCAGTGGGGGTGTCCACATGCGGTTCCCCCACCCAGGGCAGCGTTTCGTGGCCCCATAGGGAGCTCCACCGAAGGCCCCAGTGGGGGTGTCCACATGCGGTTCCCCCACCCAGGGCAGCGTTTCGTGGCCCCATAGGGAGCTCCACCGAAGGCCCCAGTGGGGGTGTCCACATGCGGTTCCCCCACCCAGGGCAGCGTTTCGTAGCCCCATAGGGAGCTCCACCGAAGGCCCCAGTGGGGGTGTCCACATGCGGTTCCCCCACCCAGGGCAGCGTTTCGTAGCCCCAGAGGGAGCTCCACCGAAGGCCCCAGTGGGGGTGTCCACATGCGGTTCCCCCACCCAGGGCAGCGTTTCGTAGCCCCAGAGGGAGCTCCACCGAAGGCCCCAGTGGGGGTGTCCACATGCGGTTCCCCCACCCAGGGCAGCGTTTCGTAGCCCCATAGGGAGCTCCACCGAAGGCCCCAGTGGGGGTGTCCACATGCGGTTCCCCCACCCAGGGCAGCGTTTCGTAGCCCCATAGGGAGCTCCACCGAAGGCCCCAGTGGGGGTGTCCACATGCGGTTCCCCCACCCAGGGCAGCGTTTCGTAGCCCCAGAGGGAGCTCCACCGAAGGCCCCAGTGGGGGTGTCCACATGCGGTTCCCCCACCCAGGGCAGCGTTTCGTAGCCCCATAGGGAGCTCCACCGAAGGCCCCAGTGGGGGTGTCCACATGCGGTTCCCCCACCCAGGGCAGCGTTTCGTAGCCCCAGAGGGAGCTCCACCGTAGGCCCCAGTGGGGCTGCCCTCATGCGGTTCCCCCACCCAGGGCAGCGTTTCGTAGCCCCAGAGGGAGCTCCACCGTAGGCCCCAGTGGGGGTGCCCGCATGCGGTTCCCCCACCCAGGGCAGCGTTTCGTGGCCCCACAGGGAGCTCCACCGAAGGCCCCAGTGGGGCTGCCTGCATGCGGTTCCCCCACCCAGGGCAGCGTTTCGTAGCCCCATAGGGAGCTCCACCGAAGGCCCCAGTGGGGGGTTTTCGCATGCGTCTCCACTACCCAGAGGTAGCGCCGCCGAAAGCGATATTCACACTTGCGGTATTCACAGTTGCATATGGTTGGGTCCTTCGCCAGGCTAATTTTTTCCCCAGGGTGCACGTTGTAAGCCACATTTCTCGGAGTTTGCTGAATAATGTGGCGGGATCTTGTTGACGTTGATTTTGGTTATGGTTCATGCCCGTTGTTGTTGATTTGTCAGGATGGTCCACGCATTGGCGCTGGCCTGGATGGACGGTGATCAAGACTGCAACGACATTCCCGCATTCAGTCTTGGCCATCGTCCCCTTTCTTTCCCCTCCAGAGGTTGACGGGCAGAACACCGAGACGGCAATTTTCTCGTATTGGGACCTGGACCCCAGCAACAAGGTCAGTTTCCTCGGGCCGCAGTGCAGCCGCTTCGGGGGGGAGGGTACTGGGAGCCACTGCAAGATCCCGTACCGGTTCAGCGAGGGAGGGAAGTACACGATCAGCGTCCGCGTCTACGGCTATGACCAGCGCTACGCCGCGCTGGTGGGCGACATTGTCGATGCAGCCACTGGCGAGAGCACCGCCATTGGCACTCTCCTCGTACCCCACGCGAAAGGCCTCCAGGGCTTCGGAAGGTTCAAGGAGGCAGGGGGCTCTTTTCTCGAGTACTTCTCGGGGTCGGGCTGCGACAACCAGGCGCGCAGCAGTGTGGGCATCGTCGGCCCGTTCTTCGGGGAGCGGTCGCAGGTGCCCTCGACAGCAGCCGCCGCCTATGGCAAGGGCTGCCGGTGGAGCGACACGTCCGCGTGCATCGAGGGAGAAGGCTGCGGGGCGCCGCACATTCTGAAAGCCGGAGCTTCCGGCAGTGGGGGTTCCCGGGGGCGGAGCCGATGGGCGTCGCCGTGAACCCGGCGGGGCTGGAGGGAAGCGGGTCCCGAGGCTTCTCGCCATTCCTGGCCTCTCGGGGCCCAGGCCCTGGCCCCAGGGACCGCCCAGAGCGTTCCTGGAGCTGCCGCCGCGGGCCCGAGAGGTGCTTGACGGGGGCGCGTTGCTTGGCCCCGGTTTTGTTCGCAGGCCTGGCTAGAGGTTGACGCCAACACCAAGATCGGCGGTGTGCCTTCACCGAGGGAAGAAGGTCCCGATCTCGGTGATGGTGGTAAAATTCTGGCTTCCAAGGCGGCCGAAATATTACCACCAACACCGAAATCGAGGACCATCTTCTCCCTGTGGAGGCAACCCCCTGTGTTGGTGTTGGTGATAATTTCCAGGCCTTCAATTTGTTGCCCCCAAGAACGAGCGCCCGAGGCGGAACAGCCGATTCACTGGGTGGGTGTCGCCCAGCATCTGCTCGACGCATGCTTCACCGGCTTCTCGAAGGGTGGGCCCTATTGAAATCCCATCTTCGTGGACCATGGATCTTCTTGGATCCAAGCCGCCCCAAAAATGAGCGACTGAAGCAAACGGGGTCGTCGTCACTGATTTTGGCGCGTAAGCTGTCCGCTTTAGGTCGCGCGTAGCGCCCTCGTTTCCAATGTGGCGTGCCGCGCTGGCGGCCTGCCCAAGCCGCGAAGGGTCGCTATGCCGTCTCGCAGCTCGCGTCAGACCCGTTGCTTGTTCGTCGCCCAAAGGGCACCGGAGCAGATGGGATCGGAGGATCGCGCCGCACCGCGGGTCTGCACCGCGGCCTCGAGCGCGACCCTTTCCATCCCGGTGTCGCCGACGTCGCGGGCCCTGCGTGATCGCCCGGCCCCGCCTCGCCGAGCGACGGAGCTTTTAGGGGGGCACCATGGCGGCGCGGGGCGACCACGCCGCGCGGCGAGTCGGTGGGGCTTCGGGGCCGCCGCGCGGCTGTGGCCCTCGGGCCGTGGCCTCCGAGGCTGCCAAGGGCAGCTGGGGCCTCGAAGGCCCCCCCAACAGACGCGAGGGGACGCAGCCGCCTTGCACCGACGTCCGCGCGCCAGCTGTCCGCGCAAGGTCGCGCGCACAAGCCTTGGCATCGCTCGGACGTGTGCATTTTTCCTTCGGCGAGGGCCATCGAGGAGCATCCTTGATCATATGGCGAAAACACTGCGCACGAAACCGAAAAAAACACGGGAAATGGACGTCCGAGCGATGGCGAGAAGCGCCCTCCCAGGAGAGCCCAGAATCGAACCGATACATCGGGCCGGCGATCGAAGCGAGTCGGATCGGCGGGAATCGGCGGCCAGGTCGGGAGGAGTCGAAGCGGCGGAAATCGGTATGCTGGTAAGGCTTCACTGCAGGAGCCGAAATCCGAATCGGTATCCGAAGTCCGATCGAATCGGGATCATAATCGAGATCGAATCGAATTCGAGGCGTCAGAAAGTGAGCCCCCCTCCGCGCGGGGCCGCCGTGGCCGCTCCTCCTCCGTCGCTCGCTCTGGCTCGGGGAGCACGCAAGCACAGAGGAACACGCCGACCAGGCCACATTGACGTTCTGGCACACCTGTTTTTGGCTGCTGGCTTTTTGAGCTGGCTGGGGCTGTGGTGTAGCCCAGCATGGGTTCCAGCGAGCAGGAAGGGGAGGCGAGGTGCACGGTGCCGGAGTTTTTTTTTATATTATAATTATAAGTGTTATTGTTTTATTCATTTGTTTGTAGCTTTTTTTCTGTCTTGTTCGAGTTCCGTGGGCTTTTTTCAGGCCCTGAGACCGTCCCCAACGGTCCCGGGGTGAAGCATTTATTCCAGGTGTAGATGGGATGGGGTCCGGGGGCAGATTTTGAGCGGGTGTGGCCTCTTCCCCCCTCCTACTGTCGATGTTCTCGAGCCCCAACCAGTTCACAGACCCCCCGGCCGCCTCCGATTTTGGCACATCTGTTTAGTCATGTTGGCTCATGATGTTCGCATTCTGCTTCAGGGGCTTCGCCGCTTCGAGAGATCGCTTTGATGAAGCATGGTCTTGCTTCGCCGTTTCGAGCGATCCCCACCCGAGAATGCCTCGGCCGGATCCCCACGGCGCGCCGGGCCCCTTGGGGCTTGGCGGCCGCGGGATGCAGTCGTCATGCGTCGAAGACGCGAGGCAGGAATCCTTTTGGGGCCTGGCGGCTGCGGTGTGCGGGGTGTGCGGCGCGGGGCGGGGACCCTCTTCCGTCAAGCGTAGCAAGTTTGCTTGGTCGGGCTGGGGGGACGGAGCCCCGCCACACTCGGGAAGCCCACACGGCCCCTGGGGAGCGGGCGACGAGGCGACGGGGGAGGGCCCCTGGGGCCCCCCGCGCCGGGACAGCCCGGCTTTCGGCCCGTCCTCTTCACCGCGGGCGGCACCACGGGCCGCACCACGGAGGACGGCCAGGAGCTCTGGGCGGCCGCCGCCCCAGAGGCGCCGTGGGCAGGAAAGGCGTGGGCGTCTCCACGGCATCACGCAGCCGTCGAGCTGCGAGATGCGAGAGGCGGGGGTCGATGCAAACCTGGGTCTGCCAGAGCGCCGGACCCTGCAGGATCCTGCAAAGCCAGGGTTGCATGTTAGAAACATCTCGTGCCATCTTTTTAACATACAAGTTCTTATTCTTGACCCGGACGAGCGCGCAGGATGCTGCAAAGGCTGACTTGACCTGCGTTTGCCTTGACCCGGGCCAGCCGAAGCCCGAAGCCGTGGACACGAGGCGTTGAACTTCGAGGGGCTTGGCCTGTCCTGTAGATGGTTGTCCTCTATTGGTGCCCGACGTGTGTCTGGCGCGGGTCCGATGTAACATCAAGATAGAGTCGGCGCGGAACCCACGAGTTCGACATGGCCGCCTGTCCACGTGGTCTCGCGCCCTGGCATCCAGACCGCGAGGGCGTGTTGTGCCTTGTGTATTGGGGCGGGGCGATCAACGGGATGGGCAAAGAAGCACCTCTCGTACACCCTCTAGGCCCTCGTTAGAGCACCGTTGGGGCCCCGCGTGTGCACAAAAGATGCACCTTTCCTCTTCCCCCGCCCCGTCGATCGCCCCCCCCCATGACGCAACGCTCGAGCCTGGTTACCGTCAAGACGCTGACGCAAGGGCCATGCATGGTATGGTCCAGGAGGGGCTCAGGTTCCCCGGCCGCTCCGTAGACCCAGGATGGAAAAAAGCACACAGACACAACTGATCGTCGATTCCCCAGAAACTGTGTGAAAATATGGGAAGTGGGCGTGATGACGAAAACCCAGAAACTATGGGAAGAGATGGGGAGTCATGGGATTTGTGCTTGTTTATTTGTGTGCCCCTGGGCCCCTTGGAAGACCCAGGTCGGGGAACCTCTTCGTGGCCAGGGGGATCGCACTGGCGTGCAGAGCCCCTTCGTTTTCTATTCAGTGTCCCTTGCGGCAGCACGATGGCCGCACGGACCTGTCCGCCGCTCGTGCAGGCGGTCGCCGCGCCCGCGCCTGCCGCGCCAGCCCCTGCCGCGGCGCCCGCCCCGCCCGCGCCAGTCCCCGCCGCCGAGGTGCCCCAGGCGGCCACCCGCCGTCGGCCGCCGCCGCCGGCCGTGTCGCCGTCGTGGCCGCCGCCGTCGTGGCCGCCGCCGCCGCCGCCGCCGCCGCCGTGCTTGCCGATGGGCGCCGTCGTCGCCGCCGCGGTCGACACCGCCGCCGTCGATCGGCGCCCGCCGCCGTCGTCGCCCCTGACGGCGCCGTCGTGGCCGCCGCCGTCCTCGCCGATCGGCGCCGTCGTCGTCGTCGTCGTCGTCGTCGTCGTCGTCGTCGTCGTCGTCGTCGTCGTCGTCGTCGTCGGTCGCTGCCGTCTTGGCCGTCCTCGCCGTCCTCGCCGATCGGCGCCGTCGTCGCCGTTAATATAAGGGGCGACGTCGGGGGGGAATCAGGCTCAGTCAAGCAGTGGCGAAGCGTCCTGGCGTGCCTATGGGCCTACCAAACATCGGGCTTATGTTCTAAGACCATTGTTTTTGTTCTTAGAACATGTTTGGGCTCTGAGAACATATCGTGGTAGGACTATAGAAATGCCGAAACGGTCGGTCCCTGCTCAATTCAGGGCGACCCCCAATCGCTCATTCATCGCCGACAGGGGCTCGATAGCCCGCCCCGCCCAGGAAAATTATGCGGAGTCGCAATCGGGGCCCAGCTTCGATCTGTCGGCGATGTATCGCCGGTTCCAGCACGATGGTTCCTCTCCATTGAGCTGCCTCCCGCCCCCTCTAACGTTTGCTCTCACCTGTCGGCGCAGTCGTAGCGCCAGGCCCATCTCAGGCCTAGGATCGGCGTGCTTGCGCGCCAGAACAGCATTCCTGCAAGTTTACTATACTCATCCTGGAAACGGCAGCAATTTTCTGAGACGAATGTACGTGACACTGAGATGGGAGACACATCATGGAAAGGAAGTGCCCTCCATCCGTGAAGCTGCTGCAGACGTTGAAGGCGAATCGGCGCGGCGCTTAATTTTGCGAGAACCACATTTCGAACACGAATTGCCTTTCAGTATTGACATTGTTTCAATTGTTTAGAAAGGCTGCGCGCGCCGCTAAAGGCGGGAACCACATATTGACATGGATGCGTTCTCCATTACTGAAATTTCTGCTAGCAGTAAGACGACTGTGGGCGACGCTTCGGCGAAACACGCATCTTGAAAGCGAGCCCCCCCCCTCAATCCTTGAAACTGTTGCAAACGGCGCTGACGCGAGAGCATCACTGTGACAAGGAGCCGCCATCCATTTTGAATTGTTGCTAATTCGACGCTTCAAGATCATCAATGGCGAAGTGAGTCTCAGGCGAAACGCCTGGCCCGCCTTGCCGACACGTCTGGGGGTGCGTCAGGGGAGAGTTCTTTTAAAGGAAGAGGGTTGGAGGAGGAGGAGGAAGATAAGGCTTCTCAGGAGCCTGTTGGGGCATGTGGGGCCTCCTGGGAGTTTCCTGGGGGCCTCTTGAAGGCCTCATGGGGGCCTCCTTGGGCCTCGTGGGTGCCTGTTGGGGCTTCTTTGGAGCCTCTTTGGCAGTCTTGGGGCGTTGCTGATCCGTCGGAAGCCGTCTTGGGGACCTATCTGGCTGTGTTCGGGACTTTCTGGGGCGTTGCAGGTCCGCTTTGGAGGCCATCTTGGGCGTCTCGGAGGCCTCTTGGGCCGTCATGGAACCCTCTGGGAAGCCTCTTGGGCGCTCATGGGGACGATCTTTGGGGCGGCCTGTTGGGCCGTCGGAAGGCTGAAAAGAAGCAACTGCCCATATCATTCGCAATACCAGCGGGGGATTTATGATTTTGGCCTCGTCGTGTTTTCTTGGAGGACCTCTTGGGCCGTCTTGGAGACCTCTTGGGGGCCCCTCGGGCCGTCTTGAGCCATATTGAGGCCATAATCGGGCCGTCTTGGCACTTCTTGGGTGCATCTTCGGACCGTATTGGGTTATGTTGGGGCCATCTTATCCGTTTTGGAGGCGTTTTGGGGCCGGCTTGGAGGCCATGTTGATCGTCTTAGGGTGATGTTTTGTGGACGAAGAGGTCTTGATGCGGATCTCCAGCAGGCTCCACACTTTGAGGGGGCGCTCCGAGGGGGAGTGTTCTGCGAATGCATCTGCCGCCGTCTTGGTTCAAGGCGGCGCCGACCTACTTGCCAGTGTTCACTGGCGCTCAATATAAGGCAGCGCGAAGAGGAAAGAAGGCATTTTTCCCGCTCTGCTTTGCCACCTACATCGCGGCCCTACCTTGCCACCTTACATCCCATTTCCCTAACACGCGATGTCCATCCCCGCTTTCATTTGGTAACGGAGCTGTCGCACTTGCGGCAGCTCCTCTCCGCCTTCGCCCTCTACCTGCTGGTGATCTACGACCAGCGGAACACTGGCCGCCAACGACTACGCGACGGAGACGACACAGACAAGACCATGGTGAAGAGCACCTCGGCCTTTACCAGTTGAGGTTAATTTTCTTCAACATCAAGGCAGACGCGAGCGCGAGAAAACTCGACCGCAATTTCAGCCGTTATCTTTGCTGTCGCATCTCTTACCTACCACGGGCGCGGTCATTCGACATTCCCCCGCTCCACTGAGCGCGGACTCCCGACAGGAGCCTCCTGTTTCCACGTTCTTGGCGTTCGTGGACACTCGACCAACCCCGCCATGACGTCTACCACCTGCACTCTCTCTCTGCCCGGCTATACTTCATCGGACTCATCGCGCGCGGCTTGGCCGCCGTGGGCATTGGCACCATCTTAGGCCGTTTGATGCGAGTAAGTGAGCATGGGGTCCATCATGGGATCCCGCGGGAAACGTTCCATGCCGCGCATGGGTATTTTGGGGCACGCGAGTGGCTCAAAGTTCATTCAGGACACGACGCCACGAACAGGCAGCAGTATTACCACGTGGTCTTCGAGGACGGGCGAGGACTCTCACCATGCGTGTTCTCTCGGCTGCCGTTACTTTTGGCGCCGGGTCACCGATTGCGGCGCGACCTACCCTTGGAGTTCGAGGGCTTGGAGGACAAACGACATCTACAAACACACCTTGAACGCGTAGATATGTGGGGATGCATCGAGATGAACAGATTGACTGCGTTCTGGCCAGGTGGGGACTTGCCAAGCTGGAAGCGCAATCTGCGGGATCTGGTCCCGCTGTCCGCGTGAGTGCGCTACGAGTGTCACTTCTGAAGGTCTCGTCACTGCTGCAGCCTACCAGTCGAAACGCGCCGCGTTCACATATGCATTGTGACCAGCTGGAACCCAGTCTGATAAGATGGCGCACATCGTATAACTTATGTTAGGACACATCGCCATTTGCATGGTTGGACCAAGGCGCAGTGATAGCTACACTTCCTACTGATGCGGCACATCTACTGGGTGGAGACGGACAAGCAGATGATCAAGACCAACCAGGAGTGCTCGCAGCAGGATCATGGGCTTCACTAGTTATGGTTCCAACAGCAGCCGCATCCTCGGCTATCCCTGCGGCCGAATGGTGGGGAAACCTCGCGGGGGAGGACGGCGATTCCGATGCGGGCGCCCCCCCCACCCCCCCAGGCGAAACGAATTACACGTGGGGCGACTTCGCCGACCTCCCCGAATCAGGACGCGGTCGTGAGCTAACCGGCCTCAAGCACAGCGCCGAGAGCGGATGGGGGCGGCATATACGTGAGCCCGCGAGACGGGCACGTAGGTTCATGGAACGCACCCTCCAAAACGAGGGCCGTGGAGGCAGAGGAGGTCGCCGACGAGTGGCCAGCAAGGGCCCCCATCCATATGCCCCACTATGTTGTATAGAAAAAATTATGGGGAGGCTGTCCTGGGGGGGGGTCGTCGGGTTCGTCGCGGGGTGGTCCAACGGGTTGTCCGGGCCGTGCCCCAGCGCACGCACATACCCTAATTACCTATATCATCAGAAGCATGACGCAGCCAGTCAAAACCAGCTGGAAAGGGCGCGGAGCCAGCGCACAGAGCATGCTCAAACTGAGGAGAATGTCTTGCCACTTTCGATTGAGACACCCTCGTATCGCTGGGCTCACGCATGCCCAGATCAGAGGTGTTCTGACTCGTTTTGCCTGCGATATTCTGGCAAGTCTGGGCTCGGAGATGCCGCCCACGAGGTGGTCCGTTCTCGCAAGCTTGGTCTCAGAGCTGCCCTGACTTCAGGTGGTCGGAGAGAATAGAGCCAATGGCGACCCCAATGCGAGGACCAGGCCTTTCTCACGCACGTCGGATTCTCGAGGAGATTGCCCGAAGGGTTGTCAACCAGGTTGTCCGGGGGATTGTTCGGGGGTTGTCCAGGTGCACTCCTACCCAAGCCCTCGCTTATGGGTAACTGATGGGCCTCATTCTTCAGCCTTCAGCCTTCTTCTCATTCCTCAGCGTCTCGCCTCTTTCCCCTGCGACATCCTCGCAACTCTGAGCTCGGGGATGGCATGTCCTGACCTGAGGTTGTCCAGCCAGTTTCGCCTGAGACATCCTCGAAACTATGGCTTCTGAGATGCTGCGCGACAGGTGGTCCAGCCAGTTTTGCCCGAGACAGCCTCGCAACTCTGTGCGCAAAGATGCCCTGACCCAAGGATGAGCGAACACAGGATTCCCACGGAATTGGGAGGAGAGTGGCGAACGGTGCTGTCGTTGGAGCGCCTGCCAAATCCCTGAACGGGAGGGGTGCTGTCGCGTGAGCGGTGACTACACTCTTGATTGGGAAGTGAGCTGTCGCCCGAGCACGGGATGATGCTCTCGCCTGAGCGCCAGCCACATCCTTGATTGAAAGTGATGCTTTCTCCAGTGCGCCGGCCACATCCCTGGTTGGGAACGGCGTTGATCACACTTACATGCTAGGGCACTTGTGGTCTCCATCTCGGAGGGGTTGGCCTGGTTGTCTGGGGAGTTGTCTGGAATTTTGTATGATCAGTTTTTTTTCCATACGACATAGTCGCGCCCAACGATGACCCCTGCGGAGGCTTGTTCGTTAGAGGCCGTGGCAAAGGCCGAGGAAGAAGAGCCCAAGGTCCCTGTAGGTCAACCGGAGAGAAGAGAAATACGACAATGAAGTCCAGTTGAAATTGACGGAACGGTGCTGACCTGCCGCAGTTGCGGTTTTTCGCAACACCCTGCACGCGTATTCCGTCGCCCCGAGGGCCAAGGGCGCGGGCAGAGGCAGACATCACCTGAGAGCCCACTACTCACCGGAACAGTGGAATAATTAGACCTGCCCGATCACAGTAACCGTGTGTGTATCTATGTGTATTGCAGAAGGTACCGAGCAACATCTATTCATGATGTTTGTCCGCGCGAACCTCACAAGTTATGTTCATGCATTTGACTGCCATCTCGATTGACCCACTCGGTCATTCTTCGGCCCCGGTCGTCGTCGTCGTCGTCGTCGTCGTCGTCTCTGCTCTTCGGGCGGCGTTGCGTCCAGTTGGGCCGAGTCTTGCGGGAGCCACGAGGTGTGCTCTAGGGTCGGCCACGCGTAAGATCTGGACGCCCGAGATGGGTACCGAAAGAATGGGTACAATGCCCAACAGCAGTTCCTGTTCATTTTGAACAGGATTCGCTGTCCACGCCGCCGCAGAAGGCCGCCTGCCCAACAGCGGCCGCTGTTGGTTTGGGACAACATCTGTTGTTTGGCATTGTACCCATCTTTTCCGTACCCATTTCGGGCGTCCAAATAAGAGCACCCCACCTCCTGCTTGACGCTTCCCGGCAGGCGGCGGGCCCCGCCGCCGCGGCCGAGGGCGAGGCGGGGGCGGCGGGCGGGGCGGCCGACCACGGGCCGTCCCTCCTGGGGCCCTTGCTGCCGGTGGACGGGGGCGAGTCGGAAGGCCTCCGTTGGTCGTGGTCGTCGTCGTCGTCGTCGTCGTCGTCGGTCGTCGTCGTCGTCGTCGTCGTCGTCGTCGTCGTCGTCGTTGTGGTCGTGTTCGTCGTCGTCGTGGTCGTGGTCGTGGTCGTCGTCGTGGTCGTGGTCGTGGTCGTCGTCGTGGTCGTGGTCGTCGTCGTCGTCGTCGTCGTCTTATCCTTTCACGGGCAGCATTCAGGGGGTGAGCCCGAGGGCTTCCGTTTGGTACGATCGAGACGGGTACGTAGAAAGCGGGTACGGAGATTGAGTGCAGTCCCTGTCCGTTTCGGACAGGGTTCGCTGCCTTGCGTGCTTGATCGTGGACCCCTTGTTCAGAGCAACCATTCAGCATTCCCGCCGGAAACATGAAAAAACCAGTGGAAACCGCCACAGACAGCTGGAAATTGCCGAAAGCCAGCCCAGGAGCCATGTGTAACAAAGGGTCCATGGTTGAGCACGTGAGGTCAGGAGGGTTCTAAGTTTGAGGGCCCCTCCTTTGTTTCTTCCGGCGGGAAGCAACATCGCCCCTCTTCCTCCTCCTGCTCCTGCTCCTCCTGCTCCAGCTCCTCTTCCTCCTCCTTCTCCTCATCCTCGTCTTCCTCCTCGTCTTCCTCCTTTTCCTCCTCCTCCTCCCCTCCTCCCCCTTCCCCCCCCCCTCTGCCTGCTGCTCCTCCTCATCTTGCTCCTTCTTCTCGTCTTGCTCCTCCTCTTGGAACTTCATGCATTTGCAATTGCAGTTGTATGTAATTGTCGTCGTCGTCGCGGCGGAGATGTTTCATCCTTTATGTTTGGGTGGGCAGGATGATTCTGAGTTTTTTCTGGGGGTAATCCAGTGTTGGGCCACAGTGCATGCGAAATGATTTGTGAGCATCTTCTCAGTGGGTGTGGTTGAAGTCGTGCTTGTAGTCGTGGTTGTCATCGTGATTGCACTCGTGATTGTAGTCGCGATTGTAGTTGTAGTCGTAGTCTTGATTGTTGTCGCATTCGTAGCTGTAATTGTAGTCGTCGTAGTCTTCGCGGCGGATATGATTGTCCCTCTATTTTTTGGCGGGCTGGACAATGTCAGGAGAATATTTCTTTCAAGGGATAATCCGTTTTGGGCTACCCTACAAGCGAGAGGATGTGTGAGCATCTTCGCGCGAGGATTGCAATATGTGTCAGTTGCTGTGCTTGTAGTCGTGATTGTAGTCGTGGTTGTACGCGTGATTGTGATCGTTTTTTGCACTAGGGATTGTAGTCGGAGTCGTAGTGGTGGTTGTAGTCGTAATCGTAGTCGTGATCGTCGTCGTATCGTGGTCTTAGTCGCAGTCGCAGTCGCAATCGCCGTCGTTGTTGTGCGGCGGGTGCCGCGGACCAAAACAATATTTTCCATTATCGGACGGACCTCATTCCGTCAATCAAGGCGTCGAACACATATGTCGTTTCCACGAGTCCACGAGTGGTGGTTGTTCAAAGACTTGTCGAGGTCAACGCTGTCCTCCGTGCCGCCGCGGGCATTGTCCATTTGTGACGCAAGGCCGCCTGCCCAACAGTGGCTGCTGTCGGTTTTGGGCAACATGTGCCGTTTGGCACCGTGCCATTTTTTCCCGTAATTTCGGATGTCCGCATCTGTTGGTCGTGGTCGCCGTCGTCGTCTTCGTCGTCGGCGTCGTCGTCTTCTTTCAGGGGGGAAGGGGCGCATTGACCTCCGATCGTCCATGGATCGCTGGCAGGGGCCCGAACGACCCTCCCCCGCCCAGGAGCGTGCGGATGCGGTGCGCCTCGGGGCCCTCCTAGCGGATCAATCGGCGATGCATCGCCGAGTCCAGCTCGATGTTCCCCCCTCCCCCCTCCCCGAGCCGGTGACCCTGTGCGTTCCCCCCCCTTCGGCGTCGTCTTCGTCGAGGTCGTCGTGTCGAGGTCGTCGTCGTCGTCGTCGTCGTCGTCGTCGTCGCCGTCGTCGTCGTCGTCGTCGTTCGCCTGCCGCTTCTCCTGCGCGGCCCGGCCGCGGCGGGAGGCCTCCCTCCTCGCCGAGGCCCCGCCCAAACCTCGTCGAGTCGTGGAGGGAGCGACTCGCCAGGCTGGAACGTATCTCACCACCCACCAAACCACCCCAACCCAACCCGAAGGCCTCAAATTGACCTCCATTTCCAGTGGGGGGGGGGTCGGGGAACGTCGAAAAAACACGTATGGAACCCATACCCCCCCCAACCCGAAATTGGGGTCTTCGGGTTGGGTTGGGGTGGTCTGGTAGGTAGTCAGTATCCCCACCCCTGGTGTTGGAATCACCGTGAGTCGGTGCCGAAAGTAACGATTCCCCGGGTTTCCGAGGGCGCACGCCTGAGATTGCCGCATCTCTGGGCCTGCCAACCTTAGGGGCAGATCAACTCGATGCCGGTCAACGAAAGCAAGCACGTCATGAGGTCTTCGGGGGTGCACCTTTTCGGCCTCCAGGGCTCCTCGCCAGGCCCATCCTTGGTCCAGGATGGGATAGGCCAGGATCTGTGTTGCTGTATGGTCGGCGTCCTACCTCCATGCGGGCCCGATGTTGTTGCCTCAGATCGGCGGTCAGGTCCCCGTGCAGCACCACGCGTGCCTCGGGGGCCAGGATCTGCTGAACAGAATCGAGTCGGTGCACTCGCACGCCGCAGTCCATGAGTCAGCTCAGTAGTCCCAGCCTCCCTCGACGCCACGCGCCACGTTGAGTCGAGAAGCTTAAAGGGCAGAGGTCTGTACCTGTCCTCTTCGAGGATCGAGCGCACACTTGCTCTGGACCATGGGCGCTTTGCAGCCGACCCAGAGACCAGAGCTTCCATGGAGGCCCAGAGAGTTCGGGCTGCTGCTTCTCCTCCTCCGCTCGGCGGAAACCTAGGTTGCCATCAGGGGCGCGAAGATGAGTCAGTATCATCGAAAGAGCGCTGTCTGCCACTACTGGCAAGTTCCCCCCCTCCCTCCCGTTCGAACCGGGGGGAGGGGGGGGGGGGGAGGTAACACTCTTCCGAACCCGGGGGTGTGGGGGGGGGGGCGAACCCCCCCCTCCCGGTTTGAGCGGGGGGTGGGGGGTGTGCCGGGGGAGCTCCGCCAAGGGCGACGACGACGCCTGCGACGACGACAGCGACGACGACGCCGACGATGACGGCGGCGACGACTACGACGTCGACGTCGACGATTCAATGCAAGTGGAATGCAATTAAAGTTAGATCGAGCCCTATTAGGGTACAACTGCATCCTGACCATCGCAGGATCCCATGATAGTAGTAGGATCCCATTAGAGCTTGATCCAGCCCGTATCAAGATCCCATGAAAGTTGGATCGATCCCTGGATGGATTTTCTCAGAGCTTGATCCGCCCCTCGTGGTAGGATCCGATCAGATCTGGAACGAGCCTGTGTAGGGTTCGATTTTTGGCTGGATCCAATCCTGATCGGATTCTATTCGAGCTGAATCGAGCCATGGACGGATTCCATGGGAGTTTAGGCGACGGTAGATCGCGCTCCCTCGTATCATCTAACCTTCAATCAGTCCCGCTTAATCCGGCTCGATTTCTTGAATGTGGCTTAATCCCGTTTAGTTTGATTTACTCGTTGGCTTGATCCAGCTAAGTCTGGCTCCATGGCCTCCCAATCGAGCTTAAGAGTCCCCAGCCCCACTGGTCCATAGTATCACAGCCCCACCGTGTCACCCGCCCATGTAGGGTACGTCGGCCAGTGTTGCCAAGGCCACGCCAGTGGGGATAGGGATCGTCCAAGCGATGCTCACGAAGAGAAGCGTACTTCGCGTTTCGTGGTCTGGGCCACGCACCACCGAGCTCTCCTCCTCCAGTGTAGCGCGAAGACGATTGCAAGACGATCGCGCCTCACGCATCGCGGGCGCGAAGCACAGCACTCGGTGACCGAGGTGGGGGCAATGCTTGGTGGTTGCCAGTAGGGGCATTTTTTCTGACCATCGTTGTCGATGCGCTCAAGGACCTCCGTCGGGGACACCTCAGGGGCGATTCGGGACACGTTATGACGGCCATGGTCTGTTGGTAACTGTTGGGGGGTCTTATGCCCATTTGGGGTGTCAGGGTTCCCGTCTCGGGACATGTTCCCAGACATGTTGCTGTGTTGGGACCGTCTTATCGCATCTTGGGCTTTCTTCGGGGTCCGGGTTGCCGTCTCGCGGCCCTCGTGGGTGCCGCTTTGGGCTCTTAGGGCGCTCATGCGGCCTGACAGGTGATATTGGCCAGCGATGGGCGGACTTTTGGTTTTGTAGCTAATTGTGCCTCACGGGCGCGCCTGGCTCTCAAGTCGGTCCAAGTGATTTCAAGTGAGCGCCAACACGATACACGCGGCCATCCCTGTTGTCAGAGGCCTCGTCCCCTTGCAGGGACCAGTTTCTTCCAATCTTTTTAGTTGAGGGCCTTGCAACGGGCAATGGGGGGAGAAATCGACGGAGCACGCCAGCATCATAACATTTGCGGCGTCGGAGGTTCGGATGAGAGGAAGACAAGGTGGAGATGGAGGAGGAGGTGGTGGAGGAGGAGGAGAAGGATAATGAGGATGTGGTAAGGTGGTAGAGGGAGAGAGAGAGAGAGAGAAACACAACAAAATCACAACGCGGGACAACAGACGCATCAGGAGCTCTCGACCCCATCCATCGGCGTCGCCTCCAGCCCGATCGATCTGTGGGGGTCTCGGGCCCCAGACCGTGACAGAAACGCCAGTCGTTTTTTTCACGACGCCCAGATCTCAGGGGTGGAGGACGCTGGAGAGGGAGCCTCAGGGCAAATGGGGAGATGGGTGGGGGGGAGGAGGAGGAAGAAAGGCGGAGGAGGAGGCGGAGCCAGAGGAGGAGGAGAAGGAGGAGAAGGAGGAGGAGGAGGGGGGCGGGCGTGGCCAGCATGAGCACCACGGAGACTTCGCGGCCTGCATGACGCCGGACACCACCACAGGACCAGCACAAAGATGACGAACGGCCAGACCGCAACAAAAAAGATGCCGACGCCCCACGACCCGCCCAGTGCAAACAGACAAATGACAGTGCCGATACGCATCCGTGGATAAAGGCGTCACTCAACGAACACGGAAACCCATCGGAAGTGAGGACGATGAATCCAAACCATTTCACATTTGCAAGATAAGAAGCAGAGACATCTCCCGAACTGTAAATTGGAAACAAATAATGAATCAACGCCGAACCGAATACGAAAGCACATACGTCTGCCTTACATGCCCAAATGGGCCTGGGGCAGGCTCAGTCACACAAGGTCGCCGCCAGGAGCCCAGACAATGAACGATGCGTTGACCACGCAGCCTACCCAGACGTTTACATACCGATGGAGAACTGCTTAGGAAAAATTCCGCCACCATCGCTCAAGCCAGCACGTTTGTGGTACAGCCTCGGGGCATTTCGGCGAAGGAAGCTAGCACTCCAGAGCCAAAGCTGGTCTGAGCCGAGATGGGACTTGAGGTATGGAGGCGGAGGAGGAGGAGGAAGAGGAGACAAAGGATGATGATGA